GAAGTGGTAGGCCACCCTAAAAAAGACGGAGCGGGGGCAGCGGATTTCTGACCCCCAAAAGTCGAAGAGGTCGCCAACTTTCTGCAAGTCAATCACTACAAGCCCCAAAATTCATGTGGCCTTCAGTTTTGCTCAAGAACAGTGCGCAGAGAGCTTCTTTGGGAAAGGGTTTTCATGGGCGAGCAAACGCATCCAAAACCAACATCACCAAGTGCAATGAAAAACGTCGGATTTTGTTGGGGGGTGTAAAGCAAAGCCGCCCCTGGACTTAAAAGCAGTTTGGGGGACCCCGGTTTTTCCCGGGGTGACAAACGCGCTTTCCATTGGCAATCTGATGGACGGGTCTGGGTTTGGGGGTTTGCCAGGAGGGGAAAGGTAATTGTCTGACTGCATTGTGCCCAATTTTAAAGTTTGGTGGAGGGGGGTTTTTGGGGGTGGGGGTTTTTTTTCAGGAGCTGGGCTTGGGGCCCCCTTAAATTTCCCGTTTAAAGGAACTCCTGAAAAGCTTCAGCCCTCCCCAAAACATTTTGGACAATTCCATGCTCCCAAAAATTTGTGGGAACGTTTGGGGGGTGGCCCCTTCCCTTCCAACATGAAATGTGACCCGTGCACAAACAAGGCCATAAAGACATGGATTGGGCAGAGTCTGGTGTGGATGAAATTGGGCTGGGCCCGCACAAGTCCCCGGGCCTAACCCGATAGAACACCTTTGGGATGAATTGAGCGGAGAAAAGAGAGCCAGGCCTTCTCGTCCAAAATCAGTGTGCCCACCTCACAAAAGCCTTTGGGGGAAGAAATGGTCAAAAAAAAAAATTTCCCCTAAAAAAACACTCCTAAACCCTTTTGGAAAAGCCCTTTCCCCGAAGAGGGTTGGAAAACTGTTCTAGCTGCAAAAGGGGGGGGCGACGTCATATTGAACCCTTTTGGAATTTTTGGAAAGGGATTTTCCTTAAGCTCATTTTGTGAGTCAAGGCAGGTGAGCAAAAACTTTTGGGGAAATTTTAGTTTTATATATATGTTATAAATGAAAATATGGTTTTTATAAAATATTTTATTAAAATATGATTATGTATGTAAAAAAAATATGTAATATATGTATATAGTATGTATATTAATGTATATTATGTATATATGTATGGTTTTATATATATGTATACTATAGTATTTATGTAGTATTATATTGTATATAATGTATATAGTATGAAATATTTTTGTAAATATATTTTTATGTATGTATATATTTAAAATTTTTATATATATATGTATATATATTTATATTTATTTTATTTATATGTATATTTTATTTAAAAGTATATATTTTATGTATATATGTATATATATGTATGTAAAATAAAAATAATATGAAAATTTTGTAAAATGTAATTGTATATGTATTATGTTATTTTATATAAAGTTTTATGTATATATGTATATGTATATATGTATATATGTATATATATACACTCACCGGCCACTTTATTAGGTACCCCATGCTAGTAACGGGTTGGACCCCCTTTTGCCTTCAGAACTGCCTCAATTCGTCGTGGCATAGATTCAACAAGGTGCTGGAAGCATTCCTCAGGGAGTTTGGTCCATATTGACATGATGGCATCACACAGTTGCCACAGATTTGTCGGCTGCACATCCATGATGTTCCACCACATCCCAAAGATGCTCTATTGGATTGAGATCTGGTGACTGTGGAGGCCATTTGAGTACAGTGAACTCATTGTCATGTTCAAGAAACCAGTCTGAGATGATTCCAGCTTTATGACATGGCGCATTATCCTGCTGAAAGTAGCCATCAGAAGTTGGGTACATTGTGGTCATAAAGGGATGGACATGGTCAGCAACAACACTCAGGTAGGCTGTGGTGTTGCAACAATGCTCAATTGGTACCAAGGGGCCCAAAGAGTGCCAAGAAAATATTCCCCACACCATGACACCACCAGCCTGAACCGTTGATACAAGGCAGGATGGATCCATGCTTTCATGTTGTAGACGCCAAATTCTGACCCTACCATCCGAATGTTGCAGCAGAAATCGAGACTCATCAGACCAGGCAACGTTTTTCCAATCTTCTATTGTCCAATTTCGATGAGCTTGTGCAAATTGTAGCCTCAGTTTCCTGTTCTTAGCTGAAAGGAGTGGCACCCGGTGTGGTCTTCTGCTGCTGTAGCCCATCTGCCTCAAAGTTCGACGTACTGTGCGTTCAGAGATGCTCTTCTGCCCACCTTGGTTGTAACTAGGGCTGCAACTAACGATTATTTTGAAAATCGATGAATCGGCCGATTATTTTTTCGATTAATCGATGAATCGGACACAAAATATTTTTTTTATATTAACCTCTTCATTCCAAAATAAACATTTTAGACAGAACAAACAAGCACGCAAGTACAGGTTTCTCATTAACTGTACTGGTGCAATATGAAAAATAAATGTTTGTGTTAAAACTATGCAAACTTACATGAGAAATGTAGCTGTACATCCACAAAATATA